GTTCACAACTTGCCACAGATTGACAGGGATGCTGGAAGTGGAAGTATGGGATTTAACGTTTCCCCTGCTGGTTTTGGTCTTGCTTTATTCTCATTCCTTGCTATCCTTCTGTTTGTAACTTTTGGAATGGAAGTGTCTATCTTGTGCCATTGAATGTTGAAAGTGTTTAACTTTTTTTTTCATTTGTACAGGGGCTTGCAGCTAAGGGTTTGCCTTGAATCTCAGAGGAGACTTTGTACTTGGATTTTTCAGCAAGGCTGAAACTGTTAGGACTTTGGCAACTCTTGGAGATGGACTAAATGCCTTTTGCATAAAAGGATGTGTCTGAGTCTTTGGAGAGCCAGGAATGGAATTTTATAACTTATGTCTAGATGTCCCCCTAAAGCCTCACAGTGTCATAGGTGGTGCTTTTTCTGAGGTGGCTAGATACAGAATATGTGATGCTGGAAGTTATTCAGGATGAAATGCTAGGATCAAGGGTGTGAGTGCTACCTGTCCTAAGTAGCCTGGATAAGATATAAGGAGTAGAACTTTGGTCATTCCTTGTTGCTTTGCTACCTTCTGCCCACCGTGATCTGTTTCTCCTTTGCAATGCCTGTCTGCCATGCCTCCTTGCCTTGAAGCCAACTGATTATGGACTGAAACCTCTACAAACTGTGAACTAAATAAATTTTTTCTCTTTAACTTAAGTGTTGGATATTTTGTCTCAGCAATGGGAAAAGTAACTGAGATACACCCTCTTCTACAAGTCACAATTTTCTATTTTCTCCATATTGCTGATTTAAAAAAAAAGATACAATGACATGTAAATTCACTGAGCAAGTATTTAATGAGTATAAGAGAGAAACCAAACCCAAAATGCATTTTTGGAACATAAATTATATTTGCAAATGACCATAAGCAGAAGCTTTCTTCCAAGCTTCTCATTTTGTAAGAGCCCTGAATTGGAGCATCTAGTAATATGAATAAATGGGAAATTGTTCACTAAGGCCTGTCTTTCCCTAGTCACTCTAGGAATAAAAAAGGTAAACATATCCAGAATAAGCAAACTTATAGAGACAGAAAACAAGACTCACAATTCATTGGGGTAGAGGGTAGGCACGAGGAGTGACTTCAACTAGACATGAGAACTCACTTTGGGTGACAAAACTGTTCTAAATCTGTTGATAGTGATGGTTTCACAGTTCTATTAACTTACAAACTGTGAACTAAAAGCATTGAGCTGTACACAGACGATGAAATTTTATGGTAAGAAAATTATACCTCGATAAAGTTGAAAGAAAGTAACTCTATAAGTTTTGTGGATGTAGATGCCAGGTGAAAGCCATCTCCTCCCATTCTCTACACAGTTTCATCTGCCATGCTTGTGGGAGGCTTGGGGCATGCCAGCCAGTGGTGTCTGAGATGTGATCTCAGTTCTTCATTCTTTACCCTGAGGACAGGACTGTCCCTGAAGACATTTCCACAAAGGTCATCAGCAAGATCTGCTTATTCCAAGGGGCCTTGTCAAGAAATATTCATGTTTTCTTGGCAGTGCAAGACAGTCATTTTATGGAAACTTTAGGAGAAAGCAAATGATTTTCTAATTCTTCTTGGTTTATCACTATACAAGTGATTTTCACTAAATAAACATAAAGAGCGCACAGTTGTTCATTTTCCCAGAGGAAAAGCAGTGAATAGTTTGTGGGGTACAGGACTTGCCTTGGTCCCTAGATGAGCTCATGGCTAAAATGAGAGCTCCAGGTCACTCACTCATTGTGGTGCAGAGTTTCCTTCTGCTGAGTAGATGTTGCCCCTAGGTACTGCTTCTGCTGATTAGAGTGTGGATCCCTTATATGTCCCTGACAGGAGACAAGCAGAAGTGTGATTGTGCAGGAAGTAGGACATATGTGCAGGTTCAGGAACTCGCCTGGCAGCCCTCAGGACTCTGAGATACAGTTGGGAGGATGCTTGAGTGCAGGTATTGGTACATCTCACTGCACCATGGGAGTATCCATTGTGCACAAGGGAATGCTCCTGTACACACACACACACACACACACACACACACACACACACCCTTCCTCCTAACTGCTCAATGGAAGCCCCTCCAGCAGCAGCATTTTGGGGTGAATTAAAGAACACAGACTGAACTTGTAGAGGTGCCACAGCTACAGGGAGATGCTTGAAATGATAATTATAGCATCTGTCACACAAATATTGGGCCAGTGTATGTATGTCATCTACTTTGCATTGCTCCCTGAACTGCTGGCTATAGTTCAAGAGTAGAATGTAGGGTACAAGAAGATCTCCAAAGAGGACTTGCTAGCAAGAGGGGATGCAGAACTTCTAGTCGCGTACTAATGGTCAAAGGAACCGGAAAGCAGCTTGAGGCTAATTCAGTACTGAGGCTAATTCAGCCTTAAGGCACTGGCTATTTCAGCTCTAATAAAGGAGTGAAATCGAACACAGGCATCCTTTGACCTGCATTTTTGCAGGGAGGGTGTCAACAGAAGTTTCCTGTATTTGCAGATGGGAAAAGTTTTCAGGAAGGGGCACTCTTCTCATTGTTATTATTTTCTGTCTGAAACGTATTTGAGCATAAATTGGACAATCCATTGATAATGACCCTGAAATGGTACATAATATGGCATGCATTTTCCGCATTTCAAATACCAGAGAATAAGCATACCTGCTAACCACATTTGTGTCTCTCTACAATTATTCCCAAACTAATGTGACCCCATTTCTCACACTTCCTTAATAAAGGAGTGCCAGCTGAACTCTTGAGTTTGTTCCTGTCCCCTCAGCAAACCTGGCAGCTTCTCTTGCCCCGTAATGACTATCACCAAGGTTGGAGGTGAGTCAGGCAGTGGACTTCAGATCTCACTACCTTGCTCGCTGCCCTGGGCTAGTTGCATATAACCCAGACTCTGGACCTTGCTCCTTTTTTATTCAGAGTCTTTCCATTCTGCGAGGCTCAGCCCAGGCCTCTGTCTCCTCTGATTATTGTCACTGATAACCAGGCTCACACAAGTCATTTCGCCTTCCAAATTCCTGGTAGAGTTCCAGTCAAAATCTCCCCATTTGGCATGTAAACATTTTATAATTGTTTCATAGCTCTGCTTTTTTCATGCCTAAAGCACCTGAACAACAGTGATTGCACTTCACACTTGCACATAGACCACTCAAAGCTCTGACACAGGGCAGATGCTCCACAGGGCTTTCCTGGGGGATGGAAACGCACCTCAGAGGCTCTGTGGACATAGCCCTATGAGCTTCATAAAGCCCATAGTGTCATTTCTCAAGAGAAACAAACACAGGATGAAAACACAGTGCAATCCCAATGTCGCTGTGTGGCAGGGGCACAGACCTATGGGGAACTTGAGTGTGTGCTGCACAGACAAAAGGCTAAAGGAAGTGCAGCAGCATGATGTCAGCAGTGACATCTCCAAGTGCTAAGATTATTGTACATCACTTTTCTTTCTTGCTACTCAAGACTTTTGTAACAGATTTATAAAAAGTATTTTTCATTTATGTAAGGTAGGAGGTATCTGGAAGTATTAGAAATGAAGGAAGTAATAAAATCATTAAGTGACTATTATGAGATGCTCAATGCAGTGAAATGGGACTTCTGCAATGAAATTTCATTGTCTGTTATTCTCCATGAGTCTAGTGTTCCCCCAAATGTGTTCCAGGCTACGATAGTCCGTACCATGGCTATTGCACAGTTAAATAATATTCCAAGTGTGCATTCTATAGCAGCTTCTTAAAAATTTACAAGGTCAACTGAGTGTGGTGGCTCACACCTGTAATCCCAGTACTTGGGAGGCTGAAGGGGGAGGATTGCTTCAAGTTTGAGGCCAGCCTGGCCTACAGAGTGAGTTCAAGGGCAGCCTGAACTGCATAGTGAAACACTGTCTCAAAAAGATAAGAAAAAAAAAAAGGAAAATTTTCAAGGTGCATTGTCCTGGATATTACTATAGCAAACAAACCTGTGAGTTTTATTTAATATTTTCCAAACTTATTCAATCATGGAACACTTTTTTCTTATAAATGCCTATTATCTCATTATACTTTGGAAAATATGGCTTTATCTTACATGTTAATTTTAAATTATAGCGTACTGAGTTTATGTTCAGTGTCATTTGTTTGTATATGGTTACTATTCTTTGGCTAGAGAATCCAGACAGGTCCCAAAATTAGAGAATAACTTTTTCAATCCAAATCCATAGAAGCATTTTAGCAATATAAAATGCATGATTTGGTGGTTTTTCTCCTTTGCCATAAAAGCTACACATATCATTGCTTAGTTACTGAAGTTGTAAAGCTTGATTTTTGAAAATGAAAACAGTAAGTGAAAAAGCATGGTGTGAGCCTGCATTTGTGCAGCCTCCTCTGGCGCCCACCCTAAAGTTGGAAGTTATTACTGTGAAGGTGCATTTTATTCCTGCGTGGGCTTTGTCTTCATCTCCACAGTCATCGTTCCACAGGCATTTATGGCAGTGATTTGAATAGCAAGGAATCCCCCTTCCCCCACTTACCCCTGTAATGAAGGGCTGCAGAAGCCAAGCAAAACTGGCAGGTAATCTGTGTGTACATCAAAAAGTGATTGCTTTTGTCTGGAATTGAGTTTTCCTTAAATTGTGGGAATCCCTGTGAGCAAAGTCAGAGAGCCTGGTGAGGGCACAAGGCAAAAGGCCCTGCCTTCCATCTTGCCCCTCCGCCACACACACTTCTTCTCACCTGCAGGGACAAACAATGTGTCAGAAGCTCAGAAGGAGCCCAAAGACTCGGCTTTCCAATGAGGATGTGTACACGTGGAGAGTAAGAGGGAGATCCCATATTAACAACTCATGTATTTGACACAAGACTGGTAGTGTCAAACAGGTTTTGTTTCACTCCTTCACTGCCCATAATGCTTAGTTTATCTTGGGCTGAAAGAGAGATAGCCTGGGCCTGCAGATCACAACATTATTACCCAACAGCAGAATAATAGCCTGGGCCAGGGATGGTGAACCTTTTAGAGACAGAGTGCCCAAACTCCAAACTGCAGCCTCAAGCCCACTTATTTATTGCAGAGTGTCAATATGCAATCAAACCTGAATGCTCGGTTACTGGGGTGACTTGGCTCGCATGCCCACAGAGAGGGCTCTGTGTGCCCGCTGTGGCACGAGTGCCATACATTTGCTACCACCGGCCTAGATTAAGCCAGGATTTCGCCTCATGTGTCAGAAAGTATGCAAAATTTGGTTCAGTGTTATTCAAGTGATTTAAGTTTAAACAATATGCAGAGCATACTTTGACCCCACTGTATCTGGCACTGATTTCCTCCTGTACCCTGTAGTGAAGGGCCTCTGGGCACCTGTGCACCCCTTTCAGCTAAGTGCCAGGAAGGACACAAGAAAAGCAAGACCGCTGTCCTCTGGAAATCCATTTCTGCCCTTGGTGGCACGGACACAAACTACAGCTCTGTTTAAATTTCCGGCTGACTGGCACACACACAATCACAAATGGAAAGCAAACAGTGGAAAATAACGCTTTTCAACCCCTCACAGCCATGGACACACAAGGCAGAGCCTGGCTTGGGGCTGAGCCTGGTTCCCTGAAGTGACACAGGTCTGTGATGGAGTGTCCCTGTCTGTAGCCTTACACACACCAGCTGCAGCGGGCTGTGGTTTTTAAGTAAAGCTTGGAAGTGGGGCTGGAGGCCATCTGCAGGAAGCTGGCTAGAGCAGGTGAAAGGGAGGGGCAAGGAGTCAGTGTTTGCTGACCATGCAGAATAAGGGGAAGAACTTGGCATGTGCACCTCTCACTAACTCACTAGGGCAGGAAAGAGCCCCTGTGGAGACACTGGATATTTCAGAGGTCAAGGCCTGCTCCGCTGGTTGGACCCCCGTGCTGCTAGTGCTGCCCACCACCTACTAGCACTCTACGCTGGAGCTGACGTAAAGAGGAATGGGGCGGTTCCTGCTACTGTGTGCTCTGGGGAGGCGTTTTCTAAACCCAAGCATGTAGTCACCTGTTAAAATCTGGTTCCGGGATGGGGCTTGAGGTTCTGCAAGTCCTACAGGCTGGGGCCTTGGGCTAGAGGTCCGGGTGGACTGTAGGGGAAGAGGGGAGGATGTGCTAATGATGCCCAGCCTGCTGCCCACGCCCGGAGGGCCAGGCTTTGCAGGGTAAGAACCTGTGCAGAAGCCTTGGGCAGGAGTGTCCCCTGGCAGCCTGGCCAGGAAGCTGCCCTGCACCCCATCTCCCTGCCCCCACGTGTCCCGCTTTGACTATGTGGCCTGTCCAGGTTAACGTGCCTTCTCTTCCCCAGGGGAGGAGCGCCCCCGGGAGCCCCCGGGCCCGGTGGAGGCCCCGGCAACGGCGGGGTCAGAGGCCAGCGGGAGAACGAGCCGCAGGCGCTGGACCTGCTCACGGGCTCAGCTGGAGAAGACCCTGTGGGGTGTGGCGGTGGTGGTGTGCGTGTGCGCCTCGTGGGCGGGCGCCGCGCAGCTTGCCAAGCTCACCTTCCATACCTTCGACGCGCCTTTCACCCTTACCTGGTTCGCCACCAACTGGAACTTTCTGTTCTTCCCGTTGTACTACGCGGGCCACGTGTGCAAGTCCACGGAGAAGCAGTCTGTGAAGCAGAGGTACAGGTAGGGCCTCTGGCTGCCAGTCGCTCAGTTGTTGGCTGGGAGTGGGTTGTGGGGATGCACTTGCGCTCTCAGGCCACCAGGATCGGATTTCTCCCCAGTCTGGGGGTGACTGCGACCTCTCACCTCCAGCTCCTCCCGCACAGCCCTTGGCGCGCCTTTCTACAGAGGCATTGTGAAGAGATGCCCCTTGGTAGGGCCCAGGAAGCATAGAAATCTGAGTGGACTGAGTTGCTAAGGCTCCACAGGGAGCCCTGCCAGGCTGGGGTGGCCTGGCAGCTTCCTGTAGCTTGCTTTCCCTGCTCCTTCGCTCCTGATTTCCAAGACGTTTCCTCCTCCCTTTCTTTGTGTGACTGGGTGGATCTGTGTGTCTTGGCAGCAGGGAGATCAAAACTAACTCAGCGTGTGGACTTTGTTCTAGGCTATATTTTCTTCTTTGGAGGCCATTGGAACGGTGTCCCTTTCAAAATGAGGCAAGTCACCCTGACCTCAGCCCCTACCTCAATATGCAGCAGGCCTGCCCCCACGATCCTTGGGACTCACATTGCTGGTGTTGACCCACAGTGTTTGTCGAGGCCCATAGTGGCTGTGCTAGGTAGAGACCCTCGTGGGCTGTGTCAAGGTCTGACCTAAGTTTGCCAGCTAGTAACCCCCAAGAAAGACTGCTAGTCAAAGTATCACTGCAAGCCCTAGAGATTTATTTATTATCAGTCCCAAAAGTGAACAAAAATTGAAAATGGAAGACTATCCAGGCCTTTGCCATTGCCTTCATCCCCATTTCCCCTACCCCACCCACACATACCCAAAAAAGTTGCCAAGTCTCACTGACATCTGCTTCAGACTTCAGCCCTAAAGTCACAGCATAGCTAAAGCCACTGCTGAGGCCCAAGAGCTGAGAGGTTTCCAAGTAGAAGTCTATACTGCAGTCAGAATTTTTATTTGGAATCTGCCATTATGTCCCTGTGGAGTTAGACTTGGAGGTACAAGTGCCATTTTTAATGTTTAGAGTGAATTTGACCTGGTCCTTTAAAGACTGACTTGTAAACTAAGCACAGATTGTAACACAAGGGGCTGTTGGGGCAGTTGGCCTTGAACCTGACACCCGGCCTCACACATCCCCTCAGTGAAAGGGTTTGGAGCAAGTCCTGAGAACAAGGCACACAGGGCATGGAGCCCAGAGCTCGGAGCTCAGGTCCAGGATAACCTCGGTGCTGACTTAACCAGTGGCTCATGGGCCAGCCAGAAATTGCTAAGGAAGTGCTTAATGCACCGCTTCTGAATGGCAGCCAAAGCCAGACGGAACCAAATAGTTTTAGGAGCTTTGATGGGGCCAAGATATCCCCAAAGGCAAAAGGGAGGTAATGGCCTGCTTCCAGTCGCAGCCAAAAGCGTGTACCAGTAAAGGATGCATTTGATAGTTAAGCAGCCCAAAGTGTATTTGGTTTGTAGTTAGGGGTTTGCCTTTCCCTAAGCTGACTAGACGAGTGTGCTGCTGCCCCTAACCAAAAGCTAAGAGTCAGTCCTTCCTTATAAAAAAAATTCTAGAGCTGGGCATGTGATCATACCTGTAATCCAAGCACTGTGGGAGGCTCTGACAAGAGGACTCAAGTTCAAGCCTACCCTTACTGATTTAGCAGTTTAGCAACTTACTGACACCCCATCTCAAAACTAAAAAATAAAAAAGGGCTGTGAATGTAGTCCAGCATGAAGGCCCTGGGTTCAGTCCCCAGTATTGCAAAATAAAAAGAATTACTGGGAAAAGAGAATTAGCGATCCTTGCCGCTGCCATCATCCTGCATGCTGGGAGAGCCCACCTCTCCAGTGGTAGTACAGCTGCTGCTCCGATCATGCGCCATTGCCACGCCCTACCTGGGGACAAGACTGGCACTGCTGACCCTTGAAAGCAGACTTGGCACCAGTTGAACCATGGTGCTGGAAACCATGCATTAGGAATCAAGCTCAGTGGTGTTGAAAGGCCCAAGATGGGAGGAAATGAGAGGCCGTCAGAGGGGATTAGTTATACACAGAAAGGCATTCAAATCTTGATTTTGGTCTATTGTCTTCCCGTAAGAAGCAGCCAGAAAGCGTCAAGCAGGGTCTCCTGACTACTATGTTCACTGAAGAAAAAGGGTGGGGGAGATAATTGTAACTTGATTATTGAAGCCGTGTAAAACCTTGCCCAACTTCTATAACAAAGTTTATCTGCACTGTGTAATAAAAGTCTCCCCAGCTGTAAGCTCTTAGCTCCAGGAGCTGAGCATGCAGGGGTCAGTACTGAGCAGAGTTGTTAATTTCCTAGCCAAAGCCGCTGGAAGAGTGAGGATTCTACCTCTCAGAGGGGAGAGAAGAGTTTTAACATCGCAGACCTCTCTTAGGAAATCACGACTTTGTCACAGCTCAGATGGGAGTACTTTAAACAGATTTGAGGCCTCCCAGAATCAAGGAAAACCCAAATCACATTTTCCATCTTCATGCATTTATCAAAATGAATGCCAGAGAGAAGCATTAGAATTCGCTGCAGAGATTGATCTCTTGGCTGGAAATGTCCAGACGTTGCTGAGGGACAGGGCCGATATTGACCTGTTGCACAGATAAGCTAGACTCAGGTTATCTGGAAACAGATGGAGATTTCTTTTCTCCACCCCTCCCCCGCCAGCGGCTTGCCCCAGGCAGATCTGGAGAAGTGAGCCACAGCAGAGCAGAAGGCTTGGGATGCTAGCACAGAGCTCCTCCTCAGGCTATAGCACCCCAAGGCACTGGCACTTGTCACAGGCCATCTGCCTCGGTGTGTTGGGGTAGTTTCCAATCTGCTTTCCTAAGGAACATTCCAAGAGTCCATGGGCTGCACTGGGACTATATAGGCCCAGGAGTTGCTGATTCTCAGCTTCAGGTTTTAAAAAATGCTGCTGATTTGACCAAATGTTAAGCCAGGGCTCACCCAGCTGCACAGAACAGGTTTGTGAGTTGATGTTGAAGCCCTGGCCCCTGCTGCTTCCAAGGAAAGGCTCTGTGGGCATGCCACTTAAGCTCTTGCAGCCTCAGATACCTGTTTGTATCTGAATCAAGTGGGAAGTTTCTAAGAGAAAGTGAGAATATGGCTCTGTAGGAGCTGGAAGAGGATATCAAGATCATCCTGGGAAGACAGAGAGTGAGGGGCCCAGGGAGCTCTCTAGAGGGTACAGGAGAGAGACAGAAGAAAAGTCTTGACTGAAGCAGGAGCGATCCTTGGTTCCAGGCATGAGTCATAGCAGAAGCCACCACAGGGGCACCCAGGTCAGACCTTTAGAAACTGTGCATCTGGTACTCTGTGGAGAGTAGATGGGGTAGCTGCAGTGGCTGAGGTGGTTGGCCCAATCACTGAACACCTCCTCGATGTCTGTGTGCCTGGGCTGTGTGGCAGGAGTGGGTGACGCAGACATGTCTGGCCCAAAGGAGCTCGTACCAAGTGGGAGAGAGACCCACTGAGGAAACAGAGTGGGATTAAGGAAGAGGCAGACAGCGACTAGGTGGGCCTGGCCAGAGTTGGGTGGAGGACTGTGCGGTCAGTGGAGGTCCAGATGGAAAGGCTGTGGTGCCCATCGACTGGGCAATGGGAGCTCCAAAAGTTTTTGAATAGATGATTAATATAATCAAAGCTCCTTTCAAAAGTAGGAATCATGGAACTGATTATATAACTGGTTACAGCATATGCTCCCATTTCACACAGAGGTGGGATGACTGCCAGGTGTCTGTTTGGTGGGGTGCTGCCTGGTTCCTGAGTTGCACTGAGGACTTTGAGTGCAAATCTTGAAGTGCTGCAGGGTCATGTCTGCTTAGAACTGTCAGCTTCATCTTCAGCCTACAGCAGATTCTTATGATGGTGAAAATCATTTCAACTGTCACCTTCACTAAATTCCAGTATTCTGAAAATCTTCTTTCCAAGGAGTATTTGTACAGATTTTCCAGGCACAGTGCCAGTGCTAAGGCAAGGCAGGGCAACAGTAATGAGCGATACCCCTGCAGCTCCTTATCCCTTGCCTCCCTGGCTGCCCACCTCACACTCGCTGCACATTTGGAACTGAGTAGGTAGAGCTACCCTGAGGCACAGGAGTCTGGAGGCAAGGAAGCCTGGCTTGTTATAGCCACAGCTCAGAGGGCCCAGGTGGATGGAGGAGCAGAACGTCCTGTGCTCAGTACCTCCCTCCCTCCTTGCTCACAGCAGGCTCCTTCCCTATCTGCCTTCCAAGCATCATCAACCCAGAAAGTCATGAGCTATATCCAGGGTCCTCAGAGTTGCTGTTTGTTATTTATCTGGTTTTTTAAAATTGGTTTAGAAGAAATGGACAAAACATTTGGGAACTACAGTTTGTAATTTGGCCCACATCTTAGTTTGGTGTTAAATAATAATAATAATTATGCACGGACACCGTCACCCAGGAGATTTTGGTCAGACTAACAGTGAAGCAAAATACCACCTCCACCCCCACACACACACGCACACACACTGTCACACACAGGTAGCTGACTGAGCAGGAGTGTCTGGGATAGCCATTGCAGAGCACGCAACAGTGTTCCACATCTGACTGGGAAGCCACAATGAGCCTCAGAGCCAGCAGAGGAGGAAATGAGGGGGAGAAGGCTGCACAGGTGTGGATTGTCTCCCTGTGTTTTAAGATAATGCTTAAACTATTCAAGGATGCATTGATGTGGGAATGAAAAAAGCATTGTCCATGTGCCCCATCATCTATCCTACCAGCCTGCAAGGTCTTCCTTTCTGGACTCGCTGGAGTTCCTAGCTTAGTGCTTAGCTCATTCGTTTCCTTTCCAGCCCCCACTTGCCCCCAGCCAACCCCACCTGCACTTTTCAGTAAAGAGCTGCTGGCTTCGTGCCTGAGAATTTAAACGGCAGCCAGCACCACCTTCCTCCCAAGTCCGGAGTATTGTGTTCCATAAGTGACTCAGGCGCTAGGGCAAGTCACAACTGTTGCTCCA